GTATAAATATGCGTCGAAAATTTAGTTCGATATAGTTAGATCTAGACTTCGTGATTGTGAGTTTAGTGTTAAAGAGCGTTTAGTGGCGATTTTTAAAGTGAAATGATCACAAACTGTATTGTAATAACAGAGCAGGAAGAATAATTTGTCTTCTCAATTGTGTTCTAAAGCCCGACATATATAGGTGACAGATTTGATAATGTATTATAGTGACACTGACTGTTTTAATCACTTCACTTTTTACTGACTCCAATACGAGTTTCCAGCAAGAAGAGTGAATAATAGCATTGCGACTTCGCTTTTCTGTTCGCTGCTGCTGCGTGACGGGGCATTTACTTAATACTAGAGATCATTAGGTCGGCTGAATTTTGGATAAAACAGTTTTTATTAAATTATTTTTAAAAGACGTATTGCATGTATATCAGTTAGTTGTTAATAGTCAGCGGGTTGTAATAAAAATGTTTGGAAAATGGATCTATAGTTTCCACGTACATCTCTAAGTATATAGGTGCTTACATAACAAAGATGGCCGAAGAAATTTAAGCATAGCAATCTCATCAGACCATATATTTGCCAAGTCCTTAGTAGAATTCATATGGACTTTGTGGTCTTGGAAGTTGACGTTCAAGGTTAGTGAAGAGTTTGTGGAAAGCTTATCAAGATGTATGGATTAACATTGATCTCTCTGTCCTCCACAGAAACTTGTTAGAATATAAACTGCCATGTCGAGCGACATTGCGCAGTCATGGTCATCAGTTTGAGTACAATCGACGATGAAGGAAGTATAAGTCACTCACTGCACGGATAAAGATTTTGTAGAACCAAAAGTATACGATAAAGATAATACACTAGTTCAACATCACAAGAAAAACGTTAATGCTAAAAAAAAATATATATATATAAATCTATGACATAAATGTTCTGTCAAAAAACTTGCTCTCATAAACTGCATGGTCATGTTTTACAGTTTCATGATTGAATAACAACAGTATTGGAACAAATACATTTTCAAGCTACAATTATCACTTTGTGTATATAAAAATAAATAAGTACTGTTTTTATCAAGTTAGCATATAACCTGTAAATAGCCGTTGAGCTAAAACAGCGTATAAAAATTAATTTATTGTGTAGTCCCCCGGAGGGACATCGGTAAGTCTTCGGATTTACAATGCTAAAATTAGGGGTTCGATTCCCTTCGGTGGACACAGCAGATAGCTCGATGTGGCTTTGCTATAAGAAAACACACACTTTTATTGTGTAAAATCAGTGTTTAATTACGTGACCTATATCTCAACACGGTTCATTTGTAAGTATGAAATTACACTGTATCACTTCGTGTAACAGAAGTTTGTGCGGGATCTGTAAAAACACTAATCGAAGTATTAAAGTATCACGTGATCTATTCGATTACTACCACCCACTACCAGGTTAAAATGTAGGTTAATAATAATCTTGAACGAGGGTATAACGTTGATATTGTCATTTTTCCTCGTGTTACCAGTTTCACTTTTTGTAGTTTTTTTTTTAACTTATGGAAATTTGTGTAAAATAAAAAAAAAGTACGAAGATGTTTTCCAATGTGTCGAATGTCGCAATCGCACGTAATCAATTAAACAAGTTGAAAAGGAATAAAATTAGCGTTGGGCGAGGCTACGACTTCGTTAGTCTTGTTTCAAAACTAATCTCTTTGTATGAAAAAGTTGTCTAAGAAGAAACTAGAGAATAGTAGGCATATAGAAAAACAGGAAGTTTTGACCTCAAATCTTACAGTTGCACCTGCGAGACTTTTTTTTTTCGTAACTATTACAGTGTTAGGCTTCAACTTCGCTTTCGACCCCCATTCACTCATTATCTTATCCCCGAGGCTCGCCCTACGGCTCGTGTTTAGTTAAAGGTCTTCAACAGCACAATACAAATCAACTAAGTAGGGAACACGAAATTATTTTTACAGAATTACAGAAGTTAGTTTGACATATTCGGGTTAATTTGTTGTTGATCTTTCATAAAATTTATTTAACAAAAGCAAAAAAAAAAAAGTATACTAGTTTTGCTAAGCTCATAAAATATTGAGATTGTTAAGTTTCTTTCCTTGTTACCGTTGGTCACGTAGCCCTTTTTCGTTGCACGGTGATTGATATATCTAACAAATGAAACTGGCAAAGCTATATATGGATTCGTACTGATTCAAAGCTTTAGTTATTGGTAATTTATATATCATTCATGGCCAGGTGGTTATGGCACTCGACTCGCAATCTGAGGGTCGCGGGTTCGAATCTCCGTCACACCAAACATCGTCGTCCTTTTCGCCGTGGGGGCGTTATGAGGTGACGGTCAATCCCACTATTCGTTGATAAAAGAGTAGCTCAAGAGTAGGCGGTGGGTAGTGATGACTAGCTGCTTTCCCTCTGGTTTTACATTACTAAATTATGGACGTCTAGCGCAGATAGTCCTCGTGTAGCTTTGCGCGAAATTCAAAAACACACAAACATATATCATCATCTTTTTTTTTAAATTATAAATTATTATGTTAGGGATGAATTTGACGGAATAATACATTCAATTCGGTATCGCTGGTTAATCTTATAATGAAAATACAGAGAAAAAAATGCTAGTACCGTGATCAATTTACGGAGACGAGGTTTGAGAGTTTTGTGCTAGAGGTCAGATAAGGTCGTAGAGGGATCAAAACTAAAAGTGCTCCCATTTAGTTTAAAGTTCACCAAATTACTCGTCTGGTTACAAGGACACCAAAAATACCTTGCACTGTCTGTAGCGTTTGGTTACGGAGCTAAAGTGTCAAATAGGACAAAGTTCAAATTCTCAACGCCCTCTAAATTTGATAAATTATTATTTCAAAGTGCTTATTTCGCTTCAGACTTTCTAGAAATATCTACATTTCCCCTAAATTAACATTCATCTTTGAATGAGGCACAATATTCTAATGTATATTTAATAGAACACTCATCCAAGATGGTTTCTTTCATCAAACATTTATCTACTTTAAAAACGTCATTATCTGATGATGACAAAGCCTTGTTGTTATATATTTGCTGTTATGTTAAACGTATATTAAATTTTTTCTTCATTACTCATTCAACCCGTCTCCAAGCATTATTAGTCTCAAAGTGGGTTCCTCGTAATCGAATTTGAAGATATAGATTGATTGAGTTTTTTGTTTTTCTTAATTTATGTTTATGTTTTCAGAAGAATAAAACACACTCATCTGTTGGTTAGGAAAACAACTAAGTTTTTTTTTCCATGTAATAGTCTGGAAAGGTCTCTTTCTTTTTTTTAAGCAGATGGACTCTTCAACCTGAGCATTTTCGAAAAGTAAACTTTTCCTTCTTCAGGGGTTAAATTATATAAATATTGTTTATTATGTAAAAAGCTTGTGTTACCGGGTTTCTTGAATCTGGGTTAACGAAGGTTACTGTTTATAAGTATGCGGCTTAGTGATTTGAACACCTAAGTGTAACTTCTTGTCGAGTTTTGAAAGATAAATGATTAGATTATAACATAAAGATCTGGTTCATGGAACGGGCATTTATAATGATCAAGTACGATAAAGCTAAATAAAGGATTTTTTTGGAATCGTTGATATATTTATTTTATACGTAAATAAAATTCAGCGCAGCCAACATTGGCTAATGGTTAGGGTGCCGGACTACAGATTGAAAAACTATGCTGAAAACTTCCCGCTTTTTCATTGGTCGGGACGCTGTAATTGTTACAGTTAATTACTCCTAATGCTAGACAAAAGTTATCCACAAAGGTAGCGGGTGCTGTTAACTGACTGCCTTCTTTCCTACTGCTCATCATTTTAAAATTATGGGTGACTATGCCTGACTGAGCTTTGGGGTGCTCGACCTGGTCGTTTAGTTATTGTGTCACATAAAATGCTGTTAAGATTGAAAATACCGTACGCGAAGCTTACCGCCATCTGTTGATTCGCTTTGTAAACATTTTGTTTAATGATTCGGTTTGTTTTCTCCAGCCACTGAACATTTTCGCCCCTTCAGCCGTGTGGGAGTTATAATGTTGCAGTCAATCCTAATTTTCGTTGATAAAATAGTAGCCTAAGTGTTGACGGCCGTTGACTAGCTACCTTCTCTATAGTTTATCATATCTGAATTGAGTTAACCCTCGAGTAGTTTTGCACGAATTTCAGAAAACAAATAAACAGCATAATTTCCTATGAGGACGACTAACCTGTAGTGTTGATGCTTTAAAAAGCAAAAGTATGAAACAAACACCCTATAAGTCTCATGAATATTTGTTAGGGTCATTTACCTATGATTGTGACACCTTGTTAGGTAGTTATTCCTTATCTCTACACCGTGTACTTCCCTGCAATATCGTTGCCATTCAATTAACAATGAAACTTAATTATGCTTAGAATTATTGCTACTTCCTTACTTTGTAAGTGTACGTAAAACGTTTCATCAACATGAATATTTATGAGCAAAATGTGACATTATACTTGATGCTGTACGTAGATGATATCGTTATATTGCAGGCCACATTCGCTGGCACTCACTGTCACGGCCACGAAAGTTCATTGAACTTGACATGAAAAACTGCACACCATCTTCACCAGCTGGAAAAGCACCGTTACTGTGTGATGTCACGCAATCTATAGTAGCGCGACCTGTTGGTGAACCTGACCGTCGTTGCTAGTAGAGCAGGGCTTGTTCCTTCGTGCCATTTTGTTGAACTATTTAACTGGATTGTTGCGTTGCGTCACTTCTTAACAACGCTACTATTGCTTCTGTATTGTATATACATAATGAAATTTGCTCTGGCAAACCGTTTTGTATTCTAATTTAGCAAAAAATAACCTAAACGTAGTAAGTTTAGAATCTAGAATTTGAATGACGTTGTTTAATTTTACATTCTTATGCCGAATACGAGTTTATTCTTTGATATATTATATTATTTTGTATGAAAGTAAGGAACTATTAGAATTCGGCTAATTTTATTTTTATATCACCTTTTTTTAGGGATTCTTCAGACGGAGCATACAGAAACAAATAGAATACAGGTGTCTCAGAGAGGGTAAATGCCTAGTTATTCGACTAAACCGGAATCGCTGTCAGTATTGTCGTTTTAAGAAGTGTCTCGCCGTTGGAATGTCGAGGGACTGTAAGTTTACACTAGTGACGTACACGTATATCCAGCTATTTTTAAAGATTATCCAATGAAATATTTTTGCACGTAATTTTATTTGATAGAGTGTGGCTGAACGTTTGAAATGACACGCGAAGTCATGTTCTTATGTAGCAGCACAGGTTTATTACTATTATTATTTTGACACCAGAAGGCAGGCTGTGTAGAGTTAAAAAAAAACGTACTAGACAACTCCTCAGTCTTGGGTATTAATTATAAAAAACATAAGAGAGAGGGAGATTATGAGGTATGAACATAACATACTGAATACTTATACATCATATTATAATTATACATGCATGCATAATATGTGACTTTCACAATTTTTGTGATTTTTTTTTAAACTTTAATGTTCAATTAAATTTACTGAACAAATTCTGCGTTAATTTAAGTAATATTCACAGAATGCTGCCAATTCTTTGCCCGAATTAAGACATTTCATAGTAAACTTTCCTTCTAGAGGTCTTTCATAACGGGTTTCACTAGTCATGGTGAGCACAACCCTCGTGTAGCTTTACATCAACAAACAAACAAACTAGATGTCTCGCGAAACTCGGTTTTACATTACACTTCACGTGCGAGAATCATTACCCAATCACTGGAACTTTGATCGTATTTAACCAGAGTGTTTTAGTAGTCGATTTTTGATACAGTTAAATACACTTTATCATCCTTCTCATACCCTTCCAGCTGAGCGCTTTCATACGCCCATGTACAGCTACATAAAAATCTCAAACTTTATTCTTTACCCAATAAAATATTTTCTTCATATCTCCCAATTTGTTGCTTCTTAATTATGGTTAAGCTATTGCTTATACTTTTGAACAAGTTATATTAATGTCCAGTAAGAGTTATAAACAAAAAACTTGTACAATAAACTTTACCTGTTCGTACTAGTCAACAAGCATGCTTCTAGTTCTGATATCCATACAGGTACCTCAATAAGAAAAACATATGGCTACAGTTGTCACTAATGCAAAATTAAATCATTAAATTACAAACAAAAATTATAGAAATACTGAAAAGTGAATATTTTATGTAGCGTAACTTGCTGAAAAGTATTAACATAATAGTAAAAATATTTTAAGAACTGACTGAAGGGATCTTAAAATTGAAAAAAAAACAAAAAAAAACGAAAAAGTTAATTCTGAAAAAAAAAATCCTGTTAGTTATTGCTGTTCCCAAAATACACTGACTAGCTAAGTCCTTGCGCTACATTTTTATTATTACAAACGTAAAAATGACAGTTTTGTGTGCCTCGTTAATAATGTAGCAACTGTTTTGTTTACGAAGAAAATTAGAAATATAAAAATTTATTCGGAGATCTAGCAATAAACTGATTTGATTTTTAATTTTTGGTAATATAGCAAAGTTTTACCTACGTGCTGTTAGAGTAGAAAGCAAGCCAAAACAAACTACTTTTGAAACTAATTTGTCTTGGATATGCACGACATCTAGTAAGTACAATTTTGTACAAGCTACGTGCAGACTTGCGTGGGTTTTATGCCCAAAACATCGTTTGATTCATCAGCGAATTTTACACTAAAGGTAAGTGATTTTATTAGATTATCTTTGTGTTTCTCTTCACTTGGATGTTCACTTAATCTCTAGTATTATACGACATGGATTTTGGTCAAGGATTTTTAAAAGCTTTTTCTCTATTAGTTTTCAAGTTATTAAATTTTCGTTGACCTTATTTCCAAAGTTTAAATATTGTCCGTTTTTTCTGTTTTTTTTATATTGGAATTTATTTGCGAGCATCTTTAAAGACCACCTGTATATGTTTTTACTTCATTCATGAATTCGGCATGTTTTACTCTTATAGCATAAAAGATTTATTCCGAAATAAAATCTCGATCTTATTTCCGTACTTTGTAGCTTAACGAAAAAAGTGTTCTTGATTAAGTTAGGTTTTATGTTTAGATCAAAACAAACTATTATAATAACTAATCGTCAAAGGCTTTTTATAAAGTAATGAAAAAAAAAAACACAACAACATGAAAACACAAGTGATACGATAAAGGAGTTACAAACCAAGAGTGATGGCAACTAGAGGATGTAACAGAACGCTATCACAGAACATGTATTAAACAAATACAATAATTTGTACAATGCACTATTACTTTGTATTTGTACCCCTTGCTTCACACACAACATTACACATTGTTTTCATACTGCCATACTATCATTTTACAATTATAGAATATTGTTCCAAGTGTCATGTCTTACTCCCCACAATTCAGCCAAGTTCGTTGATCGCCCATACAACCTCAAGAATATCCATAATAGAACTTTGTGCGGGACAAGACGTGACTGATAAAGATTCACCACATTTGCTGCATGCTTGGGATCGTTGTCATATTGGAGAATGAATTTGTGCCCTATTAGTCGTATTCCTGAGAGAACAGCATAAGCAGACAGGATGCTATCAGTTTTATTTAGATCACCGACATCGTTGGATGAGATGCAACCACAAACTTGTGCTGAACCCCAACCATGTTTCACTGTAGATGTACATCGACTATGATACCAATCTCCGTGTCAGATAAACTGTCGTTGGTTGTTGCCGAACGATTCGAACTGGAATTCATCTATAAACAGCACACAGTCTCCAGTTTTGCCTATTCCACTATTTGTGGTCCAATGCCAATTTCAACCTTTTGGTTATCTCTTCTCAGCAGCGAATTTTTAACACCTACATGTCCATTTAGACCACTTCGTGTCAATCATACCTGTTTACAGTAAGATCATTGACGAGACCTGTGTTCAACCATCGTGTGTCTCGTAAAAGCACATATTTTGAAATACTTAACATTAGTTTTGGAGGGTTTATGTTTTCTCCTTCATCCGTTTATATTATTAACAGTACCAGGTTCATTCACTCTCTTCAAAATCTTGCATATGGCTCCTATTGAAACACGGAGCCTTGCCTTGATTTTTCACATAAAATGTCCTTGACCAACCAAAACGTTAATTTCTTGGGAGCCATGGCAGGATTAACACTATTACTATTGGATATATATGAAACTGTTTGTACCTTTATAGGCATTATTCTGATTTGTCACTCTGATTGGTCCACCAGTTACTGTGTAAACTATCAATTTATACAGTTCATTTTCATACGATAATTAGGCGGCATTTCTGTTGTATTTGCCTTTTATACCTTTAATCCCTACAATTATTTTCAATACAGTTTTTCGATGCTGTGTAAAGTTTTTCTTTTCTTTCTGAGAAACACAAACTTTCCTGTTAATAACATGTATCTATCCATGTGTCTGTACAAATGTGGCTAAAAACAAGATCGCTACATTAATTTCCTCCCAATGCTGAATCTTCTCCAATTCATCACACCTTTCCTTAATGTATTATAATAAACATAATTTGTTTGATTATTATGCAAGATCAGTTTTATTTTGCTTTAATTTGTTAGATATCTTGTTTTAGTCCGTCAGATATCTTGGTATATAAAGTATGTCGTATGAATTTCTACAGCTGTTAGATATGGTCGAGTGCCAAAGAGGTCGAGAGAACGGAATGACGAAAGCCGCGTTACTCAGGCCGAAGCTGACCAATCGGCGAAAGAGCTAGAGAATAAACAACTGGCCATGTACGATATTATTTTGACCATATCTCAAGCCCATCATACCAATTGTGCCTATACAGAGGAAAAGACGCGAAGCTTAGTTCGGAAACCAGCAATTTTTGTAAGTAACACTAAGGTTTTTGTCAGCAGCTATACATTAACACTAAAACATTCTCTTATAAAAAAAAAACATCTGATTTTTTAAACTTTTACACTAATATAGAAATTTAATTTATAAGACTTCACAATAAGGTTGCTGTTTGTAGTTATGCACAAAGCTACACAATGGGCTATCTGGGCTCTGCCCACCACGGGTATCGAAACCCGGTTTCTAGCATTGTAAGTTCGCAGACATACCGCCGTGCCACTTATCTCGCAATAAGGAGTAACGAATTTGTGTACTGATTTTGCAAGTCACTTAATGACAATGTTTTAATATAATAAATTTCGATGCAGTAAGTTTAAAAAATACGTGTTTATTATTATTATCAAAGTTCTACTTCGATCAACTAGTTAAATTCTTGAGGTGCATTTTAGTAATCTTTTTCAGCCGTATTAATTTAATATTTTTACGAAGCAGCTGCGCAGTAGATAAAACCATTCTAATTATGGTTCAAGTGAGTCTTGTTTTTTTATATTTCTGCCTGTTTTGGCAGAAGTCTTCCATTTGTTTTATTAGTAGCTTTGTCTAACAGAATACTGCCATCTCTTCTATCATTGCGCTAGAGACAGTGAAGTGCCATTATATAGTATACTAGTAGTGAGACCCCACCTCCTGGTGGCTCAGAGGTGACTCTAAGGACTTATAACGGCGGCAAAAATCAGGTTCGATACCCGCTGTGGGCATAGTACAGAGAGTCCCTTGTGTAGCTTTGCACTTAACAACAAATAAAACGAAAAAAGCCAATAGCCAGTACCGACATCTCACTGCTTAGAGATGGAAAAGAGAGATTAAAGATGGTGACCCTCACAGTAAAAATTTCCAAGATCAATAAATGTAACACAAAATATGTCAATTTTCTAATAAATATTAAACATGTTTATTATTGAGCGTCGTTTGATACAACAGATGCTATGATAATGAATATTGAGGGAATGTATAAGTAGAAATGAATAATATTAAACGTTGTTACTTCCTATATGTACACTCTCAGTAGTTAGGCCTATTCCTTGTAAACCGTTGTGCTCTGTTAACGATTTCACAACCTTTCTCACTTCTGCCATTTTTGTTTGACCCTCAGCGAGAAGAAATATGCGTCTAATGGCACAGAGCTTGGCAAATATATATATATATATATAAACGCACCCCTAGAGTAGTAGCGACTAAAAATAACACAGGAATGGGGGGTACACAGAAGTAGTTTATAACATAGTACTAATTACACAAATAGCTTTAAATCTTATCGATTGTCGCTATAAAGAATAGCCTAAAAATAAGCAATAGGCTTAGAATACAGTGTTTAGAAGGTTGGTCATTATTTTCGATTAAATTACCATTTTCTAAATTCTATGATGAATTTTACAGCAACAACAGTGCTATAAAAAGGTTGGCCATTGTTCGTGGTGTAACGCTTGTAGTACTTAACGAATGTTTATGGTACGCCAATAAAACACGGGGAAACCTTTTTATAGTTGAGATTTTATCTCGGCTATAAAGTATGTCGTTCGGATATTTCCAGCTGTTAGATACTATCGAGTGCTAAAAAGGTCAAGAGAACGAAATGATCAAAGCCGCGTTACTTAGGCCGAGGTTGACCAGTCGGCAAGGGACCTAGAGAATACAGTCTCTCCCCAAAAATTACTATTGAATCTTAATGAAGCAACACAGTGATGAAACAATATTTCCATTTTTTGTGTACTTTTTATAACTTTTAGATTGGATCGTGATTAATTATGCTTTATTTTACACAACTTTCTGTTATCAGTAGAGTCTGAAGATATAGGTCCGCCTAATATAACTTTTTTTCATTATTTAGCAGAACTTGGACGAGTTTCAACCATCTACAACTGACGATAATGGGAACGGACAAGTAACAGCTGACAGTTTAGAACACCAGAAGATTTCTATGTGGCAACAATTCGCCATATTGGTTACTCCGTCCATCCAAAGGGTGGTGGAATTCGCGAAACGTGTTCCTGGATTCTTGGACCTAACTCAAGATGATCAGTTGATCCTCATCAAATTAGGGTTTTTTGAAGTTTGGCTTGTACACATTGCCCGCATGATTAATACCTTTGAAAACAGCGTGACTTTCAGTGACGGTAGTTACATATCTCGCCAACAGATGGAAATAATGTTCGATGTAAGTTATGATGTTGGTTTACTACATGGTCATTGTCGTATATAATGTAACGCAACATATCAATAAGTAAGCTGCTTCTGTAGGTTTTTGCTTTGAAAAAAAGCTATGTTGACGTTCATTACCAAAATCACTAGTGTAACATTAAGAATTTAGTTGGTAAGTCATGCTTAAATCTAATGTTCACATTGAAAATTTTGTTTCTTGGTAAACGTAAAGCTACACGAGGGGTTGTCTATACTGTGCCCATCGCAGGTATCGAAAATTATTTTTAGTGTTATAAGCCCTCAGTGTTACCGCTAGCCGTCCCTAATTTAGCTGAAATGATGATTTTTTCTTAATAGGAAACAAAAACAAATTGTTCTATTCTGTATTAAAACCATTAAATTACCGAACGTGTACGCGTGGATAGTTCTGTTGTAGAATCTTCTATTTACAAACATTCTTTTAGAAATTAAACGAAACTATTGAATTAGCTACCAATATGATTTATCGAAAAGAAGAGCTCCCCTGGTGGCTCAGCGGTAAAGTTGAGAGCTTAGAATGGTACAATTCGTTATAGACAGAGCACAGTTAGCTCGTTGTGTAGCTTTGTGCTTAACAACAAACAAACAAAACGAAGATAGTATAAGAGACGTTCCAAGTATCATCAATGAAAAACTTCAGATTTTAGTTCTAAAGACTCATATATTTTTAACTTATGAACAAATTGAAAGTCTAATTTCGGTTTTAGTTTAGCTAACTTATTCTTATGTCAGCTCTGCCTACCATGAAACATCTTAGCTAGTTGCCAATTGGAGTTAAACTCTGCCATATCTTATACAAGGTATGTAGATGACACTTTTATTATTTTTAAGAATAGAAACCTGTTAGGTTTCTTTCTTGAATAACTCATCAATATCCAAATATACAATTTTTTACTGAAATTGAAAATGAATGTAAATACTCTTTTTGGACACCCTTATTTACAAGATATAGAGGGCTTGTACGGAGACAGGTTTTGAAAATTGAAGTAGGATGCTTTCATAAGAAACTCATCCTGGTTTATTTGTTGATTCTGAAATTCTTTCCCCGACTTCTTCAAAACCCAACTTGAGTTAAATATCAGAAAGAACTGTTTTTTTACATTCAAAATAAGGTTTTATTGGTTGTACAGAGTAAAATGTTTGTTGATTTTGTCACTACGTTTCACCAGGTCTAAATGGCATCATCAGGTGACATACATGAACTGAAGCTAACAGAAATTGATTTAGAATAAATGAATCACGTGACTATCGATAACAATAATAATCTAGGAAACACCTCATTTAGCAATTACATCTATATATATATATATAAAGACGAAATATGTGTTTGTTTGCACACCTAACTCCGCCGAGCCTATTGAGTCAATATCAAACAATCTTGGCGGGTTGACGCTTTAAACAATGTTGAGTATTCTAAAGGAATTCAAGGTCAAAGTATGAGAGTTGCTGGATTGTTTCACAAACAACCATGCTTTTCTCATGGTCAATGAGATCATAGGTTGTTCAAGGGTGGGATCATCTCAAAATCTTTATTTGTTAGTATATGGAAAGCAATCTCCAAATGTTGTTTATGAAGAAGCTTTTTTATAATTTTAAATTTTGGAGATAAAGTTTATGTTCAAGTTATTAGTTTAAAAGTATATGATTGATGTGAAACTTACACTGTTTTAATTAAGTTTGAACATACCCCGTCAGTTGACGGGTATTTCACCTTGCAATTAATAAAGTACTTATCAATTAACTGTTAAATATATTAAAATAAAATTTTAAGGCCTGAGCCTAAGTATGGAAGTTTGTTTTAGGTACACCAGAGAGAGCGAATAAAATAGTTATAAATATATACCTTTGTATTTGTTAAGAAGGTAATTTTTATTAAAATGGCTTCTACTTTTCGTCTGTTAATGTTATCTTCTCTACTGAGGATTTTTACCATTTAAGAATAATAAATGTGTTCAAAAGCATGAGACATTAGTTCCCGAAAACGAGTAGAAAGAGAGCTGTCTATCTCGCCAATATAAAAGCTTTTGCACTCTGTATATTCTGTTGTATACATATTTCATGAAATGTTGTTTTCTCTATACTTCTTGGATGGCATTTGACCAGGTAGAAATGTATTGCACGAGAGAGATTTTGGATGGTAGATAGAACACATAAACAGTTTTTCTGTCAAAAAGGAGTCCCCCCCCCCCAGTGGCACAACGGTATGTCTGCGGACTACAACGCTACAAACCGGGTTTCGATACCCGTAGTGGGCAAAGCACAGATAGCCCATAGTGTAGCTTTGTGCTTAACTTCAAACAAACTGTCAAAAAGGAAGCAATTACTTGACTAACAACAGTGGATGGGAAATTGCTTTGTACTCAAAACTGAAATGTAAAACTGTGGTTTACTATATTGAAACAATCGAAGTAAGAACTTATGATTTCATTTGTAAGAACAGCAGTTTTAATTTACCTTTTGGCAATTCCAAGAGTGAGCAGTCCTTTGAAACTTGAAGGTTTGTAAGCCAGTCTCTTTGTCTTTTTTAGCATTGTGACCAAACAAACAAAATATTTATTCTGTACGACCTTGTCTGAAATTTATACAAGCAGATTTATTTTTAATATTTAATCCACGTTACCTTTCGGAGTCATTGGAAAGTTCAACGTCATTGTGAATCTGATTTTTTAAGACTCGTCACGTAGGTAAATTAATATTTAGAATTACACATGGACTTTTCTGTACGTTAATTTTTTTTTTATTTAAGAGCTTTCGGCCCTCTTACCACAGCCTTCATCGGGCAACAATGCACTGAGCTATAAAAATTCGTTAAGTGTAGAACACTGCTTTAAAATTGGTATCTAGGCAACATTCGTAACAATAACTGAAATCTGGTATTAAAGTTATTAATTATTTCTGAAATATTTGTCAAAAAAAAACTCGGAGAATTCAATCATTTTGTTCAGTTAAGCAAATTTGGTATAAAAAAATTGTCTAACATAGATTCCCATTCCGGAAACAACAAATGCCGCTCTGAAATGTTACCAAAACGATTCTAATTCTCGTTTTTGCTTTAACATCAACACTATAAGAGCTAAATATTTCAGTATGAAGGTGTAAATTATAACTAATTTGGAGGCCTAAATATGAGAAGTATTGTAACCCCAGTACTCGACAGAATAGTCAGGATAAAACTGAATATATCGCTATGTCAAATTCACTTTACAAACCAGTTTTTGGATTCGGTATTTGATGACACTTTTTCGCCTTTCGATAACCGTGACACTATTTTTGAGGTTTTCTAAACCAGATAAACCCAACATAAAATTCAGGATGGAAAATGAAGTTGATGACAAACTATCATTCCTAAATATTATTGTTAAGAAAACAAACACAGATTTCCAAACCTTCCTATTTCATTAGACCCCTCACATTGGACTTTTTGGAATTCTCTTCTTGACAAGTGCCAAAAGATATATTAAAAATTATTGTTTGCACAAATAAGACTACAAATTTTAACCTCGATAGTTTCAAAAAGAAAACTACAAACTTACATTTCGTTTTTCTGTATAAAACAGTTTCCTACTGTTGTAGGAAATAAGTAATTGCTTCCTTTGAAAAATTGAGAAAATTCATCTTATGCAGATATCCCTGTTTATCTTGTGTTACCTATTATCCAGAACTTCTTTCATGCAATCAAAAAGATCTTTTTACAATCAGTCAGAGAGTATAAAATTGACATTAAACTACAACTTACATTTTACATAGAAGTCAGCTGCTATCGAAAAAGTATATGGACAATGATACTTTAGGAAATGTGTAATGATGCAATAGATTGTGCAGATTGCTTTTAAAAGCTATGAGACAAATAAGCAGTTTCTACTGCATCTCATGGTTTTTAACGCGTGTTTCGGAACATTCAAGGTAAAAATCCTCGTCAGAGAAAATATCATTACCATGTTAATAAAAATAAAACCCTATTCCAAAATGTTCATATTTAGATAGTTCTTTTTTTCTTTTAGATGAGATAAGTTTCCATATTTAGGCTCAGACCTTAAAGCGTTATATTTATATATATGACAGTTCATTGATGAATACTTTATTAATTATGAAGTTGCTGAATCACATGTTTTGTAGATTATTATTCTTATAGATACTCATGTGATTATTTTATTCTACATTAATTTCTGTTAGCCTCAGTTCCTGTATTTGACTTGATGATGCCTAGTCAAAGGTCTTGACAAAACAAACAATAGTTACTCTCTACAACCAATAAGACCTTTTTCAAAAGCCCAACTTCGTTAGAACTTTGGCATTCAGAGAGAGACCTTAAACT